AGGATCTCACTGCAAAGTGTAAGAGGAAAAAACCCCAACTGATTTCTTTAAATCCACTAGAAGAGCCATCTAGGACAACAGGCTGTATAACCACTGTAGGCATCCAAGTACAGACCTTCTACCCATGAATGCCACGGCAAGTACAGCATGGCTGGAAAAAAATTCACACACCCCTGTTAGCTTCTCATTTAATGTGCTACATATCTAGTTTCATTCTGATTAATTGAAGCAGACACAGCTCAAAAAACCCAATGAAGCCTTAAATGAGAAAGAACCATCTTCAGCCAACTAGGACTTGGCACAGCGGAGCTCAGCTAGAGAGACACTGGAGACAGAGAGATTGAGTGTGTCAGACCAGAGCTTCAATGTCAAGTTTAATGCCGTTTGTTAGGCCTTGGCTCTGAACCAGTACTGCCGCAGCCACAAGCAAAGCAAGGCCTGTGACTGCTGCATCTGCTGCAAATGACAGTGACAGCAGCTTCCCCTTGGGTACAGTGAGTAGGTAACTGGGATTAAGAACGGACAGAGCAAATACATGAGCAGTGCCTTCAAACTGATGGTTAAAATGAAAATATTGATCCAAGAGCCTCTTTTACAAGAGGTTCAACTGAGGTTAGTGGCTACAGACAGCCATCTCCACTACTCTCCTTTTGTTCCATTACCTCGATTGTACCTGGTCCATTCAAGATCATTTTGATTTCACAGGATGTATGTGAGCAGCCAGTAAATGACCACACAGTTAAGAGTGCCTGAAGAGACTGCAGTACCTTTTATTAGTACAGGTTTATTTTGTGGGTGCTTCTTCCTCTTGAGGGCAGAGTTCAGATCACCTCTAATAAGCACCACACAGGCTTACAGCTCCTATAAACCTGGAGACTGATCACAGCACTGCAGCTCAGACACCTGCAGTGAACGTCCAGATTCTCTACACAGTCAAAGAGGAGAAGGAGGTACCTTCTGCTCTGGGATGAATCTTCTTTGGGATGAAGAGCAGTCTGAGATGCACTGAAATGTCATCCCCTCCTGAATTGTGAGCAGGAAGCCCAGCTGCCTCCCCATGGCATTTCTAAGTGCTCATAAGCTGAGCTGCATAAAGCCACTGGGTAGGAACCAGTGGGTGCAGGGGTGCAGCTAACCTCAGCACTGGCTGCTGGTGCCTCTTCTGGGTGAGACATGCTTATTTTGACAGTAAGAAAAAGATGCCAGTGTTTGCACTGTGAGTAAGGACATCTGGACTCCAGGACTTCATCAGACTACAGCAGTTTAAATGTGCTCCTCCAAGTGCCTAGGAAAGGGGCCCTATCCATTAAATCAGCCTTTGGGGACAAGAGAGAGAGAGAGTAAGAGTCCTGAAACCAAGGACAAGAGCAGTGTCCTGGAAAAGGGGAGACCTTAATCTTGCTGTTGGTAGGCACGATATCCAAGGAGCCTGCAGCCCAGTGTATGTAATCACCCTCTGGAGATGCCCTCACCAGCCAGCAACAGTCTCCTCTTGCTCATTTTTTCTGCTAGCTTCACAAGTCTCAGGTTCGTCTCTGCATCAAGGGCCAGCAGAAATCTGGATTAGTGCTGGCAGGAGCTTTGCACTAGTGCAAGCTTTGTGTTCCTTCAGGCAGAGGAGGATCAAGGACTGGGTCCTTTGTCTTCTACATGGTTGATTGTACTGGTAGGCTGGAAAAAATGACAAATGAGAGTGTCTGTCCTTCCTTTTCAGCCATTACTCAGGTGAACCTGCACTGCTGCCTGCTGGTGGTAGGTGAGACTTGTCCGCAGCTACCAGATCAGGACCTTCCAGGGACTTTGATGAAGGCTTCAGGGCGTCTACCCAGAACCTCATTTTGATGCAGCCAGCGAGATTGAGGGACTGTCCCATGCTTTGGGATGCTCCTCATCATGTGCTGAGTTAAATGTTGTTGCAAATCTGTGATCAAACAGAGGCATCTTCAAACTTTGAATGCCTCCAAAATCAGGCAGTGATGGGTAGTGAATGGCCTGAACACTGTCATGTATTTCTGAGTCTCAGGTCCACCAAACGTCTCACCGAGGCAGGCAGTTTAAATGCACCTGGTGACAGCAGTGTGAACAGCAGGCACCTCAGAGATAACGACAGGTGTGGGACTCTAAAGTCATGTCCTCTCTCCTATTTGTACACTGGCTTAGTCTTTAAAAAGTACTCGCAATACTCAGTTGCACTTCCAAACTCACTATAAGGTTGGGTTCAGAAATACGCTTCTGGTATCCTGACTATGACCTGTAATGATTTCAAGGGAGCTGTAATCGAAAAGACCAAATGTATGTAATTTTTCCCCCAGGATCTTCTTCCAGCTGTTCTTGGCTTAGGAATGCCTTAAATCTAATGAAAAATTAATTGAAAGCTGAGCAGAAACAGCAGAAAAAGATAGGAGTCCTGTAATTACTCCAATCAAGACCTCAAAGAATATTTTTCTTCTTGTACTACTTCATCTTTCCTGACAGTTACACATCTTCATTAATAAACTGTATATCTCTGTAGTATTCTTGGTTGATATGAAAATTTCCAAGATGTTATTTCTGCTCTAATATGCTTCTACCTGCCAGTTTTGCTTTTAAAAATTCATTTCTCCTCTTCCAGAGTTTTCAGAGATATGTGAGATACATCATACAATCACATCACATACAATGGTATACATCAGCTATTAGTGCAAAAACTATCTGTAGCACAGAAAAGCAGACGCTTTCTGACAGCAGATGTCATCATCAATGGCAAAATAGTCTTCTTGTCAAGACTGCTCCTGATTTTTGAAAATCCTTAGAAAAATTAAACCATTCGTGGCATCTCCACAGCCTCATAGAGGCTGCAGAGGCTTGCACAGTGTAATCACTGTCTGCACTTGTCATATTTAGGAGGTTTCTCACAAGAGGCAGAGAATTCCTTCAGCAATGGCTGAATGATGCACCTGACCCCATCTCCATGCACTTCCCACCCCGCCCTTTGGGATGCTCTGCACAACTTGGATGGCAAAATAACTGAGCCAAGCTCTGAATTTATCTGCAATCATTTTGATTTGTTTCTCTTCCAGATATGTGCATTGCCACAGCAATTTCTCTTCTTATGATTCTGATCTGTGCAATGGCTACGTATGGAGCGTATAAGGTAATTCATTGTTTGGTCAAGACATGAATCAAGCGAACTATACAGTTCTGTAGAAACAAAATTAAGAAAATTGCTTTCTAAAATTTCTTGTTTAGTTGTTTAGCTGAAAACTGAGAGAAAAAAGAAGTCAAAGAAGCAGCAGAACAGCTTGCTCAGATCAGTGGTATCCCAGAGCCCCGCACTGCAGGCAGGAAGACTGCCCAGTTGTGTTGACTGCCTGCAGTTTCAAATATGAGTAAGCTTTGGGCAAACTGTTAGTTCAGAGGACTGAATCTTGTGCCTACCAAAGTTACGGGAATTTTTTCCCATTCACCTCTCAAGCCTGTGTTTTATCCCAATATTAATCCTATTAAGTAGGGGGGAAAAGTATCATGTGGTTTCTAAATGTCCTGGTATAATGAGTTGTGGGACTTACACCACACATATTACTGCAGTTCAGCAGCCTAACTGGCTTGGCCAACCCTTTTGGCTGAATGTCATATTTCTTTTAGCTGATTTAACACTGTATTGTGTCAAATATTCCTTAGATTTTAGTGCAGAAAGACGCATATCCTTCTATTTTAGCTTGTGGCTGATGAGTATTTATTTTATTTCCTTTTTAGCAACATGCGGCTTGGATCATCCCTTTCTTCTGCTACCAGATCTTTGACTTTGCTCTCAACACATTGGTTGCCATCAGTGTACTTGTCTACCCCAGCACAATTCAAGACTACCTCCGCCAGCTGGTAAATCACTTGTTCACAAGCCTTTGGGGGCTTTGGGGGAAAAAGCTATGCAAGGTGCTCTGTTTCTCCTCTTATTTCTATCCAACAGTTTCCCGTTGACTTCCTAAGGAGTCCTTGAAAAGTCCTCTCAGTCCTTGATAGTCTGTATTCAACATCCTTGGAAGGTTACATGACTTACATTACCATGTTTATGCAGAGCTCTGGAGTTTTGCAATGTTGTGGAAGCTCTCAACAGCACTTCATTTAGAATGAGACTCATATTGCAAGACATAGATAATAAGCAATTGCTTTTGGATTCAGTTATTGTGTTCATATCCAGTGGCTTATTTTTGGTGCTATTTCAAGGATGTTTTGTTGTTCCTTTTAATTTATTTGGTGGTTTTAACACAGATTTCATTAAGCAGGAGTTTGATTCAATGTAGGTTTGTTTTTGCCGGAAAATATTTTTGGATTCTGTCTTAGGGACAACTAGAGGCTCCCTTCCTGCCATGGTCTACTTTGGCCAAACATCCACAGCCAGTATTGTGTGAGCTTAGAAGATACTATTGCAACCACCTGAAGTAAAGACAAGAGCCCACCAGCCTTTATCTCATCACTGGACCGCGTGCCATGTCTGGTAGGGTTCAGGTGGAGTTGCAGAGATCTGGAGAAACCAATGCTGCAGTTGTCTCTGAAAATCTGCCTTGAGAACCTGAATACAGATTAGCTTGGCTATGAACTTTGTCATGTGGATGGAAAACTAGCTAGGGCAGTATAAATAACAGGTAATGAGAAACAGCAGGCAGATAAGTAGCCACACAAATCTGCAGGAAGAGGCAATGTGTCAAGTCAGCAGGAGCTGGGATGCATCAGGGGCCTGTTATCCTTCACCTTATTTAACACCCGCCTGCATTCACAGCTGATGGTACACTGGAAAAGAATCATAGGAATAATTCAAAAGGTTCTCAAGAGATACGAGTGGAAAAGAGTAAATCATGGCCATAGGTTGGCAAGTGCTTGAAGCTGGCACCACTGCTGGCTGTAGCCCCCCTGCCCATCCTTTGCCTGCAGTTCCTTGCTTTTGTATCAGTGCCAGCCCTGCTGTTGTGGCAGCACCAGGGTCTGTGTGGCTGCAGGAACTCCCCCACTTCCCAGAGTGTGAGTCGTAACTGGGCTTTACTCAGTCTTAGTCACTGCAAGGACGTGACGGGCACAGGAGCAGGCTGGGAGACGCGCACCAAAAAGCCCCTGCTCTTCTGCTGAAAACCTGGTGCCACATCTGGAGCCAGCTCACTAGAAGGGCAAAGAGCAGTTGATTCTCTCAAAATGTCTCCTAAAACATCACTGTTGTTCCTGCAGATAAAAAAATAATAGGCCCTTCCATAGCAGAAATACAAGGAGCATGCCTTGGAAGGTATTGGGAATGGTGCAGCAGAGCACTTTATGAGCTGCGTTGCTGCTCTGGAGTGTTAAAACCTCTGGTTGCACATGTCTTTGTCTTGCTGTTGTAAATCATTTTCCGGCCTGGTAATGAAATGCCGCAAGACTTCAGGAGTGCTAAACTGTCAGTGCTCAAAAGGGCAAGGGGGATTTCCAGGATAATTATGGGCTGATTAGCCTGACATTGCTACCAAGCAGAATAATAACAGAAGGGCTGAGAGGAGAGTCAATTGATGAAGGATTAGACCAGAGGAATATGATTAATGACTGCCAGCATGCTTTCACGGAAAATCAGTCCTGCAGGCAAACTCATTATCTTTCACTGACAAGATTACTGGCTTCGTCAATAAAGATGGGCAGAGGCATAATAGACTTTCGTGAGACGTTTGACTTCGCAGCATGATGCTCAGAGCAACAATAAAGCACCAGATCGATAAAGGGTGTATCAAATGGATTAGGAGAGGTTAGCTGGCAGACTGCAGAGGGTCATGGTCAAGCCAACCATCTGCCAAAGAGTTTCTATTTTGGGTACAGGAAGGACTCCAGGAATCGGCAGTAGATTTCCTCTCTTCCTGACTTCCATTAATAACCTTGGTACCCAAGAGGCTGTTCACAAAGGCTAACGTCAGCCTTGAGAGAGCTTCCCCAGGCTCACTGTCTAGAGGGATCATGTCCTCTAGCGGGAGGTTGCAAGCAGGAGCCTAATCTAGCTGCCCTGCGTCATCCTTTGAAGAACTCTATCCCTGCATTGCCCAAAGTGAGCACATCTCTGCATTTCCCAGAGGCAGTACTTGTGACTTTTCCCAGCAAAATCACTTCTGATAAAACCCATGGCTGACACAGAGATTAATGAAGAAACAAATAACACGAGGATGGAGCCATTAATCAGAGTGAGCTAGACTGACCAAGAACCTGAGTTCAGTCATTAATGTGTGCTACATTGCTAAATGCAAAAAAATGAAAAAACATGAGGAATACAGATGAGCACACAGTATGGCAACTGTACCTGGGATGCAGTGACCCTGTAAGCAGTCTAGGGAACAAAGTGCCAAAGCAAGAGTCCCCAGGGGTTTTTTCCTCTTTGTAAAAACTGCTTATGGGATTTGTAGACAGAAAAAACCAGCAATGAGTAGCAATGGAGAGGAGACTTCCCTCCTCAGTTGGTGGCATAAGTTTGAGCTGTCTATTTATGGTGTCTGGTTGTAATGCTTAAAATTCATTAAATAAAATTAAACTAAAATTAAAATGCTTAAATGTCAGAGAACATGCAGAAAAGTTCCTCCAAAAACTCTGTAAAAGCTGGATACATTGTAGCATGATGACAGACAATCAGCTTTTCCTGCTTCCTTTACAGAGAAAGAGACCAAGAGGTGATGCCATTAGGGTTTTCATATGCAGAATAATGAGGTATTAAAAGGCTGTTTAAATTAGATGAGAGGCATAATGATAATGAGTAGCTAAAAACTAGTCCAAGTCAAGTTCATTTAGAAACAAGGAGTCATTTCTATCTTATCATTCACATTGGAGATTAGTGATTGGCAAAAACCAAGGTCTGTGATAAGTTTTGTACGGTTGATGTCACCTGTTCAACAAGGTTTTGAAGCTGTTCTGCATCTGCTTTGAAGCTGCTTATGCCTCCTGTGTCTT